AGAAATTCATGGCTCAGCAAAATCTTTGTGTATTTTTAAGCTGACACAAACCTTTTGGAAGCCTTTGTGCCTTGAGGTGTCTTGGAAGCGTGTGATGTCCTCCAGCAAGCCCATGTCCTTTTTGAGCAATCTGGGCTGAGGCTCCATGGCTGTTGGAACAGAGTGGGGGCTCTTTTGAGCATGCAAACATGTTCACTTCCTGTTTTGGGGCAGCCCTATGCACAGGGACACTTAGGGGTTGGCTCTAGCAGAGCTGTTAGATTTCTGCCACCTTGGGCCACACTGTGGCTCTTCTGCCCCCCCTCCACGATGCACAGTTCTTGTGCTTTCTGAGAGAGGCAGTGAGAATGGATGCCGGTTGCCTGGATACAGGAAAAAAAGCCAATCTCAGAGACGCATCCTGCTAGAGCAGACCTTTCCAGAAGAATTTCAACAGGCTCTGCACACAGCAAAGACTGTGCCAGGCACAGAATCACCTTTCCCAAATGTGTAGGAGGTGCGAATCCCAGCCCTCAGCTCAGGAATGGAAGAAATATGACCTGTTGTGTCTTCATTTAATGTCTATTTTAAGCCCTGTTGCACTGGGCTCATGCAATTCAAGGTTGTTTTTTTTCCCCAATTCTGATGGTTGGGGGAGGGCTTATATCTTCCCTGGGTGGTTTTTTTTTTTGGGGGGGGGAGCAGCCTATATCTGCTAAGATGTCCTCTGCCCAGTTCTCTTTAACTGTGCTCTGTCGCGCCGGCCCCCCCTCTCCCTCCATGAAAACCTGGGACCTGCTCAGATGCACTATGCTATTATCATGGTGCCTCTATACTCTGGACTCCCTGGGCCCTCTCTCAGGCACCTTCTCTCTAAGGCCATCAGATTTCAGGTTGTGGTGACTTAATGGTAAACAAAGGAGCTGTTGCATAAACCAGGTAAGTGTTTGAATGGGACATCAAATCACTCAGGTGCAAAAGGAGTCCTTGCCCACTCCCAGCACAGGCTGCCTTTGCTGATGGCCACACCGGCAGACCTCTGACTCTTAATCTTTCTTTGTCCTGCTCTGGTTTTATTGGGTCTCCAATGCTTTATCCTAGATCTTTGCCCTTTGGCCCTTCCTCCTCAGATAGCTTGGAGGTGTCCTTAGGCAGTTTTCAAGTGCTGTTTGCCCCTAGCACATTGCCTTGAGTGCTCACACTGTCCCTCCTCTCTCTCTCTCCCTCTCTCTCTCTCTCTCTCACACACACACACACATATATGTATACATATGTATATATGTATGTGGGCCACCTGCACTCCAAGGCTGGCCCTGGTGCTATCTGTCTCCTCCCTTGCTCACACCTGTGCTCACTGATGCCAGGATCACACCATCCCTGCCCTCTTCCTGGTCCCCTCATTCCAGGATCTCCTGTTTCCTGGTTGCTCTTACACAAAGCTGCCAGAGATTTCTTGCAAAACCTTGGAGCTGATCAGCTTCCAGACCCATCTCTTATTGGCACTTCTACCAGAAAGGTCATACTGGAGAGGTCTGGCTGCTGCATTTTCTGTGTCCTTTATTCATGTTTCTGAAACCTGGGATGTTCTCTGTCCCAATTCCACTCTTCGTAGGCCCAGGCTAAAGATCCCATAAAATACAACGGCTCCGGGGGTTCCTCATGCTCTGGATAACACCATATATGACAGGATTTTGTTTTGTTAGACAATATCCCAGGCTGGTCTGGGCAGCAGTCCTCTGACTTGGAGGTGGTGTTAATATTTTATTATTCTCTGTTTTAAATCTATTTTTGTGGCTCTCACAAAGAACGTGGGTGGAGGTCAGAGGACAGCTTGTAGCAGTTGGTTCTTTCTTCCATGTGCTAAACCTGAGAGTCTCGGGAGAAAAGAACAAACCCACGATTGTCCAAGTAAAGCAAGCTGTATTTGGGGGTTAAACCCAGGGCTGGGCTACTGGCTGTCTCACCCTAAGCTGGGATTTGAGAGAGGAGCCTGCCCCTTCAGGCCTCTTAAGTCCCTTTTATAGGAGGAAGAGAGAAGATTTTCACAGGGTGAGAGCGTTGCCTCTTATACATTGTTAGGAAGATACAATGAAAGAAAAGGAACAAGAGTAAGAATGTGCATCACTTGCAATTTAGCATAGCTTGAAAAACATTTTACAATTTACATCAGATCTAACAAACAGGAACTTACTATTTTGTTTTTTTCTGTTCAAGACAGGGTTTCTCTGTGTAACAACCCTGGCTGTCCTGGAACTCACTCTGTAGACCAGGCAGGCCTCAAATTCAAAAAGATCCACCTGCCTCTGCCGCCAGAGTTCTGGGATTAAAGGTGAGCCACTGCTACCCAGCCAGGAACTATTCTTAATTACAAATAGAAACCTTAACTTCACACAGGATGAGCAGGAACTTAACTGTTTTACCTGCAAACCAAACCCTTAACTTGCAAGGAACATTGTTCCTGTTATGGTCCCGTATTAACTTGCAAGGTATGTTGCTCCTGTTTTGTTCTCATACATGTGGTCCCAGGGGTTGAACTCAGGTTGTGAACTTTGGTGCCATGTCTTTACTCATTGAGCCATCTCACCTGGCCTGATGTTAATACTTAATGGGTAAGTGTGTGTGTGACTGTGTGAATTTATGTGTGCCATGTGTTGCCGGTGACCACAGAAGACAGAAGAGGGTGTCAGACGGCTCCTGGAGCTTGAGTTCCAGCTGGTTATGAGACACTCAATGGGAACTAAATCCAGGCCGTCTGCAAGAGCAAGTGCTCTTCAACACTGAGCCACGCGGAACCTCGGATGTTAGTGTTCCTAAGGATGGTCTCAGAGCAGCTGCTCTTTGGGCCATCAGGGTTCTTTCTAAAAGCTTCCTACAGTGAGGCCTCTGGACAGCCTAGCAATCTGCCAGAGACGAACCTGTGACTGTTAAAAGGCAAAAGGGACCTTCAGGTTGGCACTACCCTCACTGTCTGGGAGGATCCTGTATAATGACATGAGTTCTTATACGTGGAATCTCCTTCCCAGCAACTGCAGAAAGATGTGACAGGGGTAGAGGGTCAGGAAGCTATACACTGCTGCTTTGGAGACAGGACCTGGCCACAAGCTAAGGAACACAAGCAACCTCTAGGATCTAGGCAAGGAGAGAGAATGGCTTTCTCTTGGAGCCTTCAGAAAGTACAGCTCTATTGAAACCTTGATTTTAGCCCACTGGTATGAACCATGTCAGACTGCTGCCCAACAGAACCAACGAGTAAGTTTGTGTCTTGCGAGGCATGATGGTATGTGCCTGTCTGTAATCCCAGCACTTGGGAGGTAGAGGCAGACCATCAGTAATCCAAGGCCATTCTCAGCTACATGGTGAGTTCAAGGCTAGCCTGGGCTATATGAGATCCCAACTCTAAATAGTTTATAGTGAGCCACTGCATTTGTAGTGGTTTGTTAGGGCAGCAACAGAAAACTCCAGTCACATAGATTTATATGCCTAAAGGTTAAGAACAAATCCATTGTACATGGTTTCACAGAATGTGTGGTGATTAATCAAAACATTTTCATTCGAGCTCCTGCCATGAGTTATTTGATTTCAGATGCAAATGAATATTCAAATGAACAAATCCATTTGATTGGTACAGCTAAGTCTGCTCCAGAGAGATCAGAGGATGCTGTCAGTGTGTATGGCCACCCCAGGACCAGACCCATCCCCACTCCAATCAGCTGGTATGAACACTGCCCACTACACTATATCCATTTACTTATCTCTGAGGCTTGGGTCTTCAGTATCCTAGGCTTGCCTGAACTTAGACTGTAGCCAGGGATGATGTTAACTCTGGACCCTTCTGCCAATAATTCCCAAGTGCTAGAATTACAAGTGTGCATCATTAGGCCTGGCTGTATGCCATGCTAGGAATGGAATTCAGGGCTCATGCATGTAGGCAAGCATTCTACCAAATAAGCTACACCCCCTGCCTGTGGGTTTACTCTGTAGTAGTGCCGTGGGCAAGGTAACATTGATGTCCAGAAGGCTCCATGGTCATGTGAGGGAAGGGGCCAGGAAGATCCCAGAGAAGAGACAGCTATGGAATTGGGACAGATGAAGTGTGTGCGCATGTGCATACTTTTTCCAGTCATTTAAGCTTCAGAGCAACATTATGGGGATAGAGGCAAAACCTAAAGTAGGAAAGGGAGCTGCCCAAGGGAGAACAGCCAGTCCTGAGAATTCATGTGTAGGGCTGCAGGGCTGAACCTCACCTCCTATGGGATGGAAAGCCAGATACATCAAGAGGCACAAATCCATGGCCTGTGCTTTGGAGGGCACACTGTTCCCCTTCATGATCCTGGATCCCAGAAATCAGAATGTATTTACCTGAAGGCTGAGCTGAACGAAGGACAGATAAGGGAGACATGAGAGAAAGTTCTAGAGAAGTTTTACAATCTTAAAGACATGATTGGATCAGGAACTTGAGAAAAATCACCTCTGAAAAGATTACTTTTTTGAGGGCTTCTCAAAACCCTTGACAAAAGCAAACTTTTTTGACAGACTCTTGAGTTATCCACAGCTGGCCACACAGTTATTCCGGCACCTTACAACGCTGAAATTGCAATACCGAATGAAAGCATAAAACCAGCTGAAGCAGATAGTGTGAGCTGGTGACCCTCCCTGCACCCGATGTCAAAGCCAGCCTGGCAAATAAGTGCCTTCAGCCATGGTAGCTCTGGGGACATGTGGCAGGTGGCAGACCCATATAGCTTTCTCCAGCCAGGCCACCGAGGCAGGCCCGAGCACAGCTGCTGGCGGGCTGGGATGCTTCCAGCCAGTGCAGGGTGGACTGGACAGATGGAGTGCAGGAAACTGCGAGTGGGAAACAAGTGTGTGTTCATCTTGTTTGATAGAAATTCAGGTGCTGTCCTGAGAGTTGGGATAACACCCGGGCAGTCTGAGCAGTGACTGGGCTGGGTGGTCCCCACCCCACTCCTGATCAGTCTGAGATGAGCAATGCTGTTCCTATGCCATTAACATTTATTTGCTCAACTAAATGCTAAGCCGAAATCTTGGGAAATTTCCAACCCACTGAAGCAGAAAGAGCTTTGCTTTCATAGTAGGCCAGAGACCATTTCCTCATGACACAGATGCATTATAAATACTGTTTATTAGGAGCTTCCGCAGTGCTGACCCATAAAACTTTATTTATTTGGATTATTGCTCAAGTCATGTTCCCATTGGAGCCTTTAAGTCTGAGGGACAGCGTTCATCCCTGTGGAAGCACCCTGTGTAATGTATACCACAGGGTGGACACAGCACTGCTCCCACCGCCAACCTGCCCACCTGTGGGGTGACAGTCCCCATGCACCCACTGTAATCTAGGGTGAAGGCCACAGAGCAGTCTCAAGGAACCCCTGCTGTCTGCCTTTGTCGCCTGGAGACCCTAGCGGTCCCACTCGCCAGGGCTCTGCTCGTCACTGTCCTCCGAGTCAGCAGCAGACACTCTCTTGATTCTTTCCAGGGCTGCCCTGATGCTCCTCTCCAGGTCGCTGGTGCACTTCTTGCTGGGCTCTACCTCTGCATCTGGGTGTACTTTCTTCAGCTGCACTCCCTGCCTGATGGCAGCCAGAACTTGTTCATTGACTGAGGTGCGGGGAGTGGACAAGGTAGGTGCTTCTACTTTCCGGAGAGAGGTCCTGCCCTGCCTGAGGGAGGCCAACACTTCATCCATGGAGCCTGAAAGTGAGCAGACAGCAAGTATGATGACAAACCAGGGTTCCAGCTCATGCTAGGATGTAGCAGACACTCACTGCAGTGAGCCACTGACTGCATGCTGACCAGCTGTCAGAGCAGCACCCCCAGCCCCGTCTGCCACCACAGCCTGACAGCTGATGTCTCATCCTGACTCCTTTCCACCACTTCTTCAAACCCACAGCCATGCTATCTTCTGTTGAAATGACTAAGACACTCTAGAGTTAAGGATGCCTGCAGTTAACAATCGGATAACTGGGTGAGACTTGGGTTGTGTCTCCTCCATTTCCTTTCCCATTAAAAGCATCTTGAGTATGTGCCCTGCACTCCTTCAGTCTTGGCAATAGTCAGTGATGACTCACCCTGACAACAGGCACTCAGTAGTTCCCCCACACACAAGACTTCAAGTGATATACTAATCAGCTGTTCTGTGGGCCCAAAGGAAGGCGCTGGCTGTTTCCTGTACAGTGCTTAATTCCACCCACCTTACCTGAGGTGGCTAAGGGCTCTATTTTTGAGAGTATGAAATATTGCCAAAACACAAATTAGCTCAGAGTTCCAAGACACTAGTGAGAAGCTATTTTTTAAAACTCTAGCACCCTGAGACCCTGGGGGGTGGGGTGGGGGTGGGGACCTTTCCTTGCTTCCCAGACACAGGGCATAAGTTCAGCCACTAACTTAGACATCTGCCAGGTAAGTCTTCAGGATTAACAGTCATTTTAAGTTGTTTCTAGTTGGGGACTGAAGAGCTGAGCTATGGCTAACTAGTCTGTTCTATTCTGCACTCAAGCCCTCCTCACTTAATTACAACCCTGTTTGAGATCTGATGAGACAAGGTCCACAATCAAGGGTTCACACCGTCTTCTCCAGTGCTATTGGTGTTTGTGGTTGAACAGAGTCATCCCCCACCCCACTGTGTATTCAACCTAAATTGAAGAATACTCCCACACCCAAACTGTCATCTAAGCAGACAGGAGATCACTCTTCATTGCACGGTGTTGCAAACCCTACCAATGGGCTGCGTGCCCCTGAACCTGCAGGTGCTCTCCTTCGCAGCCTGTTCTGGGCACAGTGAAGCCCCAAACTCACAATAAGCAGAGTACTCATTGACCAGCATGTAATCCATTGGCTTTGCTCATCCCTGTCCCAGTAACTGTTCTAGGTAGTTGACATACTTAGCCAGAGGACAGCATTCACCAGGGTTTATCTAAGACAACCCTCCCCAAAGCAGTAGGCTGTCTTGCCGGGTTTAGGCCAGTGTCTGAAGCCATAATTAGAACTATGCATGAGAACTGTGGGCTCACTAAAAAATGCTTGTGTATTCAGTGTGAAGACAAAAGGTGGCCCAGTTTTCTAGTATTCCGGATCAAGTTCACAATTCGGTTGTGATGACTCAGATGTACCACCGTTTAAAGCTGTACTGAGAAGCGCTGGCTAAGCTCAAACTCATGCTGAAGTCGGGGGCAGTCTGAGGTAGACTGGCTCTTTAACAGATGTGTATTCGGGCTGAGTTAGCATGTCAAATTCAATCTCACCGGTACTAACTGACAAGGCAACAAATGGTGGGAGATTTTGAGACTGGAGGATGACGATTCTTCAACAGCGGGAGTGAAGAGAACTGCAGTGGTTACCTGAAGACTGGAAGCCCTCCAAGCAATCGCACGGTCTCTCAGCAGATGCCTCACACACTAGAGGGAGTGGCTGGTCCTCTGCTGCTAAAGTCCTGAGTCCTAAATTCTGATGAGTGGTAGCTTGAGAAGAGGACGGAGCAGGGAAAGGAAGTGGCGGTGGGGGAGGAGGCGGTGGCGGTGGCGGTGGCGGTGGGGGAGGGGGAGGGAGAGGCGGAGGTGGCTGCGGTGGTAGTGGCAGATCCTCATTGAATCTGGAGAGTGGCTGGTCACCAACTGGAACAAAAACCTGGCCTGGGATACTGCCACAGGCGTCTTGATGCTCAGGGGTTTTCACATTAGCTTCAGGTAAGGGAGTCACACTTCCAGTTTTGCTAGAGGCAGGATGAGCTATCTTGTGATGAGCTGTTGAGGGCCTCTTCCTAGAGTGTCCACCTGACAGGCTTGGTCCCATGGTATCTGAGCAGGTCGTTTTCAGTGCAGACTGAGAACCTAGACACTTCTGAGGATGGAAAACCAGTGAGTGATTGTCCACAATATAGGCCATCAAAATGCTGCCATTGCACAAACACCCCTATAAACCAGCACTGCTCTGTGCATGGGGCACCCTAACCCGAGAACTCAGGCCACCAACACGGACCCGTGCCACTGAACCTGTTGTCACAAGTCAAGGAGCACTGCTGGTGTGGCAGCAGGACTGCCCTGGCCAGGGTGAGCCTTGTTGTTTTCAAAACAAAAAAGACCACAGACAAACAGAAAAGAAACCCAATCCACATTTATGTCATGGAACCAGATGACCATATACTACTTTCTCTGTAATACAAGGAAGATGAAAAAATGCATACAGATGAAAGTATTCATCATTTAGAGTGTGAGAAAAGGGAACTCTTCAGTCCAGCAGAGCCCTTGGGCTGTAGTCACATGCCAAGGCTCCCTCCAGTGACATTTAGAGATCTGTTACAAAGAAAAAGGAAGCTAGGGAGATCACTTCGGTGAAGTACTCCTGAAAGCAAGAGAACCTGGGTCCAACCCCTAGATTCCACACAAGAAGCTGGTGTGGTGGCAGGGGCCTGTAATCCCAGAGCTGAGGGGAAGCGGTACAGCCCCAGGCCAAAAAACAAGGTGTACAGCTCCGCAAGAAGTAGCCTCGGTAGTAGTGCATCTTCACAGCAAAAGGACAGTAACTGCTAGGGTATATATTAAGGCCCTGCCTCAATCAAAAGAAAAGTTAGCAGAGGTTCATACTGTGGCTTTCCTGATTTTTTTTCCTTTTTGAAATGCTATGTTATTGGGCTGGAGAGATGGCTCAGAGGTTAAAGAGCACTGGCTGCTCTTCCAAAGGTCCTGAGTTCAACTACATGGTGGCTCTCAACCATCTGTAATGAGGTCTGGTGCCCTCTTCTGGCCTGCAGGCATACATGCAGACAAACTATTGTATACATAATAAAAATAAACCTTTAAAAAATTGTGGCATCTGTTTATAATACATTACACTGTTTTTGTAGGATGGATGGGGCTCGTTTATCTCCCCAGGTAAAGGTGAGTGGTCTTTCTAGAACTTACCTCCCTATATGCTCTTAGTCGCTCAAGTGTTTTTTGACGTTCGTGGTTTATCCATTCTTTTTTCTTTTGTTCCTCTTCTTTTATTTTGTCTCTTTTCTATATGTAAACAAACACATCCTTATAAAAGCTCAGAATTCATCATGTTTGTATTCACAAGGAAAGGAGACCCACCCTCATGTATCCCAGCTGTGTAGTTTCCACAGGCTAGCCCATTGTCAGGTACTCACTATCTGAATGCTGTGGTGCTGGTGAAAATGCCTCACACTCTGTTCAGCCTGCTGCAGTCTGAGCTGATGGCTTTCTCGGCAGTAATCCTGTGGGATAATGCAAGTCACACACACGGTTTTTAGTTAGACGTTCGTGGGCTGGAGTAGAGCTGGAAGTGTTACAGTTTTGACTAACATGAGAGAAGTCCAGTTTCCAATGAGGGTCACTGATAGGTCCTACTCTACAGTTATGTGACATCTGTTCCCAGGTGTCATCTGTTCCCAGCAGAGTGCTTTGAGAGATGAAGTATCTCAACCATCTGCTTTATTGAACATACATTTACTTATTTATTCATTTATTTATTTTGGGACACACACATGCCACAGCATACAGAGGTCAGAGGACAACTTATTGGGTCAGTTTTCTCCTGGGAGTCCTGGTCGTTATGCTCAGCAGTGGGTGCCTTCGTGGAATAGACATCTTACAAATCCATTCTAATGCAATTGTTTAAACTCATCTCTCCATGTTATAAATACTAATTATATTCCCATACACAGCTGTAAAACAGCCCACCTAGAAATACTTGGAACAGTATGTTAAAAACTGTAAACTCACCACAACCCTCCATATACAGGGGAAAATGGAGTAACACCAACATCCACTCAGTAGTTTCCAACCTGAGCCACAGTGCCATTTTATTAAGTTCGCTGTGAAATTTGTATCATTAGTGTTATTAAGAGAAACCATAGGGCTGGAAGGTAGCATGGTAGTTAAGAGTGCTCAAGGCTCCTGTGGAAGAACAGAGTTCAGTTCCCAGCACCCACACAGGGCAGCTCACAATGACCGTAACCACAGTCTAGGGACCTGATGCCCTTTTCTGGCCTCCACAGGCATCTTCGTCCATACACATGCAGACACACATACACAAACATGTAAATACAAATACACCTTTAAAAAGAAAAGCTGGCAATTGGCCCTTGAAAGGTCAGGAGAGGCCAAGCTGTGATTTCAATTGACAGTGGCATCTGAATCGGGACCTCTGCTCCCACTCTGATAGCCCAGAGCTTCTAAACCCAGGGGGAGAGCTGCTAGGCTGTGCAGAGAAGGGACACCACCTGCAGGGTGATGGCTAATGCTCCAGCTCAGTATAAGACAGTGCTTCTCAACCTGTGGGCTGTGACCCTTTGGGGGTTGGATGAACCTTTCACAGGGGTTGTCTAAGACCATCAGAAAACAGATAACAATAGCAAAATTACAAATATGAAGTAGCAAGGAAAAAAATTATGGATGGGAGTCACCACAACATTATTTAAGGGTCACAGCATTAGGAAGGTTGAGAACCACTGCTCTGGAAGACGTTGTCTTCCTGATAGAGAAGAGGCATCCCATCCATCTCACCACAGTGGCAGAGAACTGGAAGGCTGAACCACAAGGCCCCAGCCAGGGCTTTCTGAAGCGTGGGGTACCGGGCAATGGCAGCCTGGGAATTTCAGACCATCTGAAGACTATCCCCTAACCCAGAGACTACAGCTATAGAGCACAAACCTACAAAGACTACTCCAGGAAATGACGTGTGTGGGGAGGAGTGACACCTCAAAGGCTAGAAAGGAAGGCATCTACCTGCGCTACAAGCCACTGAGCACTGAGGTCAGCAGGCGACTCAGTGAGGCCGTCCCTCAAAATAAAACCAGGTTGGAGTTGGGCTATAGCTCACTGGCTATAGTCCTTGCCTAATAGACAATCCCAAATGCGCCCCCCCAATTAAATTCCAATAATAAAGCACAACAAGTATGAGCAACTAATGAAATATAGGAACTTTCTATTGGAAAAATATATTTCTCAGTGTTTTTATATAATTACATAGTTTTAGAATTAAGAAAGCATGAGTTTCATTCTGCTTTATTTTGATTTTCATTTTTCTGTTTTGTTTTCCTTTGAGAAAAAGAACATAAAGTTGCATGGGATCTAGGAAGAACTGAGAGAAGGGAAAACATGATCAAAATATATGAAAAAAATTTTAATGAGAAAAAAAAAGAAAACAAGAAGGGAACTGATGGTGCACACCTTTAATCCCAGCACTTGGGAGGCAGAGGCAGGGAGATCTCTGAATTAAAGGCCAGCCTAGTCTACAGAGCGAGTTCCAGGATGGTCAGGGCCACAGAAGAGACACCCTCATCAAAAACAAAACAAAATGCGTGTACATACACACAAAGAAAAGAAAAGAAACCCACAAATCTTTAGAGGCTTTGTTTTTACCAAACATAAGATCTGAAATAGGAATGAACTTTGTTTCTGTGACTGACTTCATTATTACCCATAATTTAGAGTAAAATTTATGCTGTACTGGTAATTGTTAGTTCCTCTGTAGTGTAGTTTTTAAGTTTCATTTTATATTTTGATAATTGAACCAAGTACCTTATACATGCCAGTCAAGTTTCTACTGTTGACCTATACTGATTTTCAAATTGGAGACAGGGTCTCCATAAATCATGCAGGTTGGCCTTGAACTTGCCTCAGCTTCTCAAGCAGCTGGGATTCAGGCCTGAACCAGCAGCACCACACCCAGCTCCTTCTGTTTTAATCTGTTAAGCATGTGTGGGCGCACAGAGGTCAGTGGGTACCTTTGGCAGTTGGTGCTTTTCTTCTGCCATGAGTTTTGGGGACTGAAGTAAAGTTATTAGGCTCTTGTTACAAGTGCTCTTTGTGATGAACATCTCACAGCCCCCACTCTTACTCTGATTATGAATAAAAGCACTATGCACAAGTAGGAACTCAATAATTACTGAACAAACTAAAAATCTAGATATTATGGTAGACACTTAAATCTCAAAGGAAACATTTTTTTAGCACTTAAAAATACATTTGGCTCTAGCCACACAGACAGACACACAGAGAACATTACTAACAATGCAGGTAAACCTTCTCAGCACTTTAACCTACCACAACATGAAACCCTAGATGGAGGGCCGTACCTTTCTGCTCCTGAGGTGGGCCTTCCTGGCACAGATGCGGCCTCGCTGAGCCTCCAGCTGCTGGCGTTGCTGCCTGAGTGCTCTCAGCTCTCCATTCTGACCAGGATGCATCTCCAGGTCATGAGCCAGGCCCTTCAGCTCCTCAGGGCTTTCACACGGGTCATAGTAGACCACTTCATCCTGTTTCTCTAAAAAGATTAGTGACTTTTTAGGCATGCTTTACTATAATTCTAAAAATGTCTTTAAATGTAAAGAGAGACTAGCTGTAATTACATCATGTAGAGGAAAACAGCATTAAAATTACATACACACTGCTTACAGAGCTGCACACAGTAACTGTGTTCTATCAGAACATGTTCCATATGCTAGAAATAGCATTTTAATGGCCACATAGTATTCACTAGTTCAAGCATTCTCAGAATGTCCAAATGTTATGTTATTTCCAACTTCACGATAATAAACATCCCTTCATATCAGTGTGTGTGTGTGTGTGTGTATATGTGTGTGTGTTTACTTCTTCCTTAGCAAATGAATGTTCAGGATTCTTTATATCTATGCCAAAATGACCCAGTACTACACAAGCTGTCTCACTGATTTTTAAAAACCATGCTTATAACAATCTCAAACCCTGCAGAAGCACACAGAATAACATTTTTTCTATTTCCTCCCCAAACAGGATTCCCATACTAAAGGAAAACATCCTTCCAAGTTAACTATTTAAAAATAAAAGTTCCCCCTAAAATGTTCACAACTGAAAAGAGCTGCAAAGGGTTTTGGATACCAGGATTAAAGCAAATGCCGAGGCCCTGTGTGAGGCTCATTGAACTTGAAGAGGCTTGGAAAGAGAGACTGAAGGTGTGGAGAGACCTACCATGATCTTGGGTGGGAGGAATCAAAATTGCAAGACGACAATTCTCCCAAATACTCTCTAATCTTAAGTACAATCCCAATCAAAATTCCAGTGAGTTTTTGTTTGTTTAAAAGTTGCCAAAGTGATTTTAAAGTTCATCTGGAAGAATAAAGAAGTGAGAGAGTCAGAGGACGTGGGGCAATGGGAAAGGAAGGGCGCTAACAGCTTTGCAGGTACAAGGTAGTGGGAGCCTACATCAAAAGGCCTCGTGAGTTAGTGCAGGAGAGCTCGGACCAACCACTGCAGTGCTGGCTTTAAAATCAGTGCTCGGGACCAATTTGGGGAGAAAAGTTTGATATTTATCACAGAATGACCAACAATGAATAAAGTCCTTAGTGTGTTAGTGTGGAAAGGATTATAAAAACAGAAGATACATATGACATGATTTTTCTCAGATGCAGACTCTAGAGACAGCAACATAGCAGGGTGTGGTGGCACACTTGTGATCCAGCCCTTGGGAAGTGAAAGCAGAAGGATCAGGAATTTAAGGCCATCATTGACCACACGACAATTCTGAGGCTAGGCTGGGCCAATTACATGACACCTTGTTTCCCAAAACAAAAAACTGAAAAGAATCAGTAACATTTTGTGTGTGTGAGGACACAGTGGTGGGAAAACTACTGGGAGAAAAAGGGACACGGGGTGGGTCAGAACAATGAAGGGTGATGGGGGTGGCAAATATGAGCAAAGCACAATGGCATACAATATAAAAATGGGTTCTAAAACATAAAAAAAAAAAAAAAAATCACAATCCAGCCCTCAGGGGGGCTCAGGAAGGAGGGTTGTAATGGATCTGAGGTCAGCTACAACTATAAAGTAAGACCCTGCCTGTCTCAAAACTCCAAAAAGAGACAAATGGGGGAGGGGAGTAAACATCTCAAAAAATGTCCATGTCAAATAATGTCCATTAAGTATATTAAATTGCTTTCACTATCAATTGCAATTAAATAAGCAAAAACTGTAAGTGCCGTTTTCTCTACCTAGTATCTGGAAGTTCAAAGAGAAAAGCATAAACATGGAAGGTACACCCTCATCTGCTGATGGGGTGGGTGTCCTTTTTTATAGTCTTTCTGGGGCTATTATGAAATTCAGAAGTTAGAAACAACAGAGGGAAGAGGAAGATGTATTTCAAATTACTGTTTTAGTGCCATTTTGGTAGATACATATTAAAATGTTAGTGAGCATTGCCCTTAGCCCAACCATTTTACCTTTAGAAATCTATCTCAAATTATCAGTAATCTGTGCATAGGACACATACAGGAAGTTTACTGCTGCACTGGTGATCAAGACAGGGAAAACCCAGAAACCACAGTATGTCTGTAAAATGGAATACTATGCAGCCATTAAAATTGAGGGTTTTCAAAATTATTAATACTTAAATGAGTTTATTGTACATTAGGTAAAAAAATGTGGTTACTTGATAGAGCCTATAGTTTTGGTTTTAAAAACTGACACTCCTCCTTATGTACGTAGCACATTTTTAAAAGCCTGTAAGTTACCGGCAAATCGCTTCCATGAAGCGCCTATACACAGTGGGCATGAGGGCTTCTTTCTTTGTTTCTTGTGTGTTTGAATATACTGTGGAATAACAAAAATTCTGAAGGGAAACTAAATATGTTCAGTAGATGTAGTGGGCCATGTATAAGGAGAAATTGATAATTGGTCTGTATTTCCTCAAACATGTTACTCAATACCTCATTCTAACATAAACATGAACGTTACCTTTTATAAGTCTCTTAACAGAGTCCAACCGTGTGACCAGGATCATCTCTTCGTTTCTCAGGATCTCAAGTTTAACCTCATACAGCTCCAACTGAATCTCGTAATACTGTATTTCTAGCTCATCTACAGCATCTATATTCTTTCCTTGGTCTGGAAGATCTTCTACCTGGTTTGTATGGAGAAAGGAGCAGGTGATTCACATAGGAAAAGCAAATGGCAAGCATCCTAGCTGTTTTCTGCTCCTCCATGGTGCTAACTGTAAGAAAGGAGACAGGACAAATCTCTTCCATTTCATCTCGACAGACAAACCTGATTGAACTCATTCAGCATTCTCTACATACACTCCACCGTAAAACAAATCTAAAAACATAATAGCAATTAGACCGTGTCAAGGGATCAGCTGACCCGAGCTCGTGAGAGGTCACTGACTCAGGTCTGACAAATGGGGAACCTGCATAAGACCCAACTAGACCCCCTTAATATAGGTGACAATGGTGCGGCTGGGACAGTATATGAGGCCACTGGCAGTGGGTCCAAGATCTAACACTAAGACACAAACTGACTTCTGGAGCTCATTCTATATGGAGATGTACCTTGCCCAGCCTAGACACAGGGGCATGGGGGTGGGGGGTGGAGAGGTGCCTTGGTCCTGCCTTGATGAGATGATGGGACAGACTTAGTAGACTTTCTAGGGGAACAGTTGGGAGGTGTGGGGGGGGGATGGGAAGGAAAGGAGGGAGGAGGAACTGAGATTGGAATGTAAAAAATAAAAAGAAAAAAAAACTACAATATAAAAAGTAAAACATCAGAGGAAGAAAAAAAAAAAAAAAAAAAAAAAAAAAAAAAACCTATGTCCAGGGTGGAAGGTGTTGATATGATAAAGCACAAGGGAGACCTTGGCAGATTCCATGGCAGGCGAGGGTGGGGGGTGAGGAAAGAAGAAAAGAGGTAAAGACACAGAGAAAGAGAGGACAGAAGAGGAAGACAGGAAAAGTCCTATTTGCTCCAGGGGTGAAAGGGAGGGAAAAGGAGAAGAAATGGTCTTGTAAGAGGGCAGGGGGTTCTTTTAAAGGGGTCCTTTGCCCCTGCGTGCAGACTAGTACTCATGGAACCCTGGACTGACCAGAGTACTGCCTGAGTGCATTCTGTCAGGTGACAGGGGCAGGCCAGCATAATGCCTGAATCCTTCCTTACACCTGTCACCCCAAATGTAAATGCTGGCACTCTAAGCCCAATGTAACAGTACTGAGGGGGGTCACTGGAGGCGGTCAGGTCTTTGAGGTCAAGGAGGAGGACCCTGTGGTGGAAAAGCTCTTAGTAGCACTTCCTCTCCCTGGACAGGAGAGGCCTGTGAGCATACAGCAAGGAGTGACCACAGCCAGGAAGAGAGCCCTTACTAGAGGCTGAATAGGAAGGCACCTCCATCTTGGATGTCTAGTCTCCAGAGCTGGGAGAAATAACTAAATGTCTTTGTAGTCAGCCCAACTATGGCACACACTTAGCCATGCTGGACTGGACTCAGTGGCAGAGCACTTACTTAGCACCTGCATGCAAGATGTTGGCTCCAGGACACTGTCACAATGTGTTTGTGTGTGTGTGTGTGTGTGTGTGTGTGTGTATAATTAAACATATTGCTGGACTATTTCTGAAGTGAATACCCCCACTTCAATCCTAAACTCAGTGTTACAAACTGACTTTATAAACTCAGGGCTGTATTTCAGAAACATCTTGAGAACCAGGAAAGGAAGCATCACGACCCACCTTCATTAGCAGTGTATCTATGGGAGCCTGTGTTGGGAGATACAAAGCGGGCTCATTACCGATGCCTAGGATGAAAGGCAACCTAAATGGCAGCATGCTTTTACAGAAAAGTGTTTGTTCTTGTCTTACCTTCTTCTGGATTTCATCGCGCCTGTGGTTGAGACACAGCTCTTTGGCTCGCATGAGCTGCAGAGTCTCCCGAGCTAACATGAGCTGGAGATTTTCTAGCCTGGGCATGGCTGTGGCCCAGGCAGCCTTGCCAAATCTCTTGCGATCCTGCTCCATTTGTTTCTGCATTCCTGAGTTTATAATTAATAAAATAAAACAGAAGTACAACTCATTAATGAATCCTGAGTTGTCTCTTTGTTGCCTCTTCTTTTTCCTTTCTAAACCTTTTTATACTTTTATTATTTATCACAGAAGTAACACTTGGTCATTGATAGAAAATTTCAGTATTCAATTTTAAAGTAGGACAATAATAGCCCGCCTCACTGGGCTACCTGCTGTTGGGTCCAGACTGTTTCTGTGGCTAACAGGCTGATGTGAACAGTCTGACCAGCATTGAGTTCATTACTCTGCTTTCAATAGAACTTCAAACCCTAATAAACTAGTGTGCTGGCTAGTTTTTGTCAACTTGATGCAAACTAGAATAACCTGGGAAGAAAGGCAACTGAGAAACTGTCCTGTGGACATGTCTTAGAGCAATTTCTTGACTGTTGATATAGGAGGGTCTAGCCCATTGTGGGTAATGCCACACACACACACCCTGCAGGTGGTCCCCAGTTGTATAAGAAAGCAACTTCAGCCAGGGAAGCAGCCCCCAACTCCAGCAGGCACTCCCTAGAAACCCATGGCCATTCCAGCCAGGGCAGTGGTAAGCTGACTTGCAGTTCACCTTTCCCTCAGTTCCTCCAAATCTAATTCCCAGTCTCATCTCCAACTCTGTAGCAGTCTACTCATTCCCAGGGGACTAAGCAGATTCCCCTCAGCAACCCTCTCCTAGCCCATCCCTATTCCTAAGTGTTAGCTCACAATACCTAGAAACACCTGGAACCTCCAGTGGCTACACCTGTGAGGATCCCAGAAGCATTTCCTACCAGGCACCAACCACACAGCCACCACACTCTCCTAAGAACCAGAGGAAACAGAAGCCAAGGATGAAACACCTATAATTACAATCTTCCCAAACCCAGATGCCTAGATGCCAGCTTAAAACAGTACCAACAGCTGGGATGACATGTCTCCACTGGAACCCAGCAGCCCTGCCACAGCAGAATGTAAGTGTTGCAACTTAGCTGAAGCACAGGGAAAAGATATTACAATAACCTTCATGCATATGACAGAGGTCCTTAACATAAACATAAACAGTGGAAGAAAATTAATAAAACATTTCAAGACCTGAAAGTAGAAATAGAATCAATAAAGAAAGCCCAAACTGAAGGAAATCTAGAAATGAAAAATCTAGAAACTTCAACAGGAACCTCAGAGGTAAACCTCCCCACAGAATACAAGAGATGGAAGGAAGAATCTCAGGCTTTGAAGACAATAATAGAATAAATGGATACCTGAGTCAAAGGAAATATTAAATATAAAAAAAAATCATGGCACAAAACGTCCAGGATATCTGAACACTATGAAAGACCAATTCTAAGAATAATAGAAATAGAGAAAGGAACCAGGTGGCGGTGCAGGCCTTTAATCTTAGCAACTGGGAGGCAGAGACAGGCAGATCCCTTGAGTTTTAGGCCAGCCTAGTCTACAGAGTGAGTTACAGAACAGCTAGGGCTACACAAAGGAACCCTGTCTCAAAAAACAAATCAAAAAACAACAACAAAATTAGAAAGAAAAAGAAAGGAGAAGAAATTACAGTCAAAAGCACAGAAAATATTTTCAACAAAATTATAGAAAAAAATAGACTAGACTAGAAAAAAAAAGAGTTCAAGTAGTAATAGTATTGATAACACTAAAAGTACAGAAGAAAGATGATGGGGATGTCCTTCTGTATGTTCTCTTATTGGTTGATGGATAAAAAACTGTTTGGCCAATAGAGGGAGGAAGATAAGCAGGACTAGGAGATGAAGAGAATCCTGAGAAAGATAGGCAGAGAGACTGGAGAGATGCCATGTAGTGGAGGAGTGCAGGTTCAGACCCTCCTCTGGTAAGCCAAGACCACATGGAAATACATAGATTAATAGAAATGAGTTAATAATTACAACAGAACTAGCCAATAAGAAGCCCTAGCCATTGACCAACCATTTAATAATTAATATGAGCTTTTGTGTGTTTACTTGTGGCTAAAGCTGCAGCCGGACCTGGCAGGAAAGAAAACTCCAGCAACAGAAAGAATATTAAAAGCTGCAAAGGGAAAAATACCAAGTAACATATAAAAGCATACCTATTATAATAACACCTGATTTCTCAATGGAGATCCTAAAAGGCAAAAAGGACTGAACGGATGGTCTACAGACTCTTTGGCTGTCCTGGAATCCACTCTGTAGACCAGGCTGGCCTTGAACTCAGAGATGTGCCTGCCTCTGCCTCTGGAGTGCTGAGATTACAGGTGTATGCCACCACCTCCTGGTGTGGTCTACAGACTCTTAAGTGACCACAGATGCCAGCCCCAGCTACTATATCCAGCAAAACTTATAAAGATGGATAAAATAAGACATCCCATGAAGAAACCAAATTTAAGCAATGTCTATCTAGTGCCACACAGAAGGCACTAGAAGGACACACCAACCTAAAGAAGTTAACAACACCTCTTTAGAAAACACAAGGAATAAAAAATTCCAGAACTGCAAATCAAAAGAGGGGAGACACACACACACACACGCACACGCACACACACACACACACCACCACCACCAAACAACAGGAATCAACAAACACTGTTCATTGGTATCTCTCAACATTAATGGTCTCAATTCCCCAATAAAAAGACAGACTAATAGAATGAGTTGAATACAGAATCCATCCTTCTGCTATATCCAAGAAACACACCTTAACATCAAGGATAGGCATCATCTCAGGGTAAAAGAATGGAAAAACATATTCCAAACAAATGAACCAAAAAAGCAAACTGGTATAGTTCTTTTAATATCTGACAAAAGACTTCAATTCAAACCAAAAGTAATCAGAAGAGATAGGGAAGAATACTACATACTCAGAGGAAAAATCCACCAAGAGGACATTACAGTTCATAATATCTTTGCACTAAATGCAAGGGTGTTTAAGTTCAAAGAAGAAAATACTACTACAGCCTAAATCACATATTGACCCTTAAAAACTGATAGTAGGAGACTTTAATACTCTAGTATAACAAATATAGGTCATCCAGACAAAAACGAAACATAGAAATGCTAAGGCTAACTGATGCTATAAACCAAGTGAACCTAAGAGCTATTTACAGAACATTTTACCCAAACACACCTCATGGAACTTTTCCAAAACTGACCACATACTTGGATACAAAGCAGATCTCAAGAGATACAAGAAAATTGAAATAATACCCTGCATTCTACCAACCACCCTGGGTTAAAGCTGGATATCAACAACAACAGAAACAATAGAAAGCTTACAAACTGGTGGAAACTGAACAATTCACTACTGAATGAAAAATGTGACAAGACAGAAACTAAGAAATTAAAATTTTTCCAGAATTGAATGAAAATTAATACATAACATAACCAAACTTATGGGACACAATGAAGGCAATTCTAAGAGGCAAGTTCACAGCACTAGATGCCAATATATATATAAAAAAAAATCTATCAACCTAACAGCACATCTGAAAGCTCTAGAACAAAAAGAAGAAATCACATCCAAAAGGAATAGATAGCAAGAAATACTCAAACTCAGGGCTGAAATCAATACAATAGAAACAACAACACAGAAATACAAAGAATCAATGAAACAAAGAATTGGCTCTCTGAGAAAATTAGTAAGATTGGCAAACCCTTATCCAAATTAGTTAAAAGGCAGAGAGAGAATACACAAATTAACAAAATCAGAAACAAAAAGAAGGACATAACAGACACAGGAAATCCAGAGAATCATAAGAACATACTTTGAAATCCTGTACTCTAACCAAATTGGAGAATCTTAAAAAAAAAAAAAAAAAAAAAAAAAAAAAAAGGAAAATTTTCTCAACACATACCACTTACCAAAGTAAAATCTACATTAGGTAAGCAATTTAAATTGACTATAACCCCTAATGAAATAGAAGCAGTAATTAAAAGTCTTCCAACCAAAAAATTCCAGGGCCAGGCAGTTTTATTGCAAAGTGTTATCAGACTTTCAAAGAATTTTCAAAGAAGAGTTACTACCAACTCTCCTCAAATTATTCCACAAAATAGAAACAGAAGGAACATTGCCCAATTCACTCTACAAAGCCACAGTTTCCCTGTTACCCAAATTGCATAAAGATCCAACAAAAACAGAATTACAGACCAATTTCCCTTATGAACATAGATGCAAAAATTCTCAATAAAATACTTCCAAACTGAATCCAAGAATACATCAAAATGATCATCTATCATGATCATCCAAGATATACGGGGATAGCACAACATATGTAAATCTATAAATATGATCCTCTATATAAAGAAATTGAAAGACAAATACCACAAGATCATCTCATTAGATGCAAAAAAAGGCCTTGGCAAAGTCCAACATCTCTTTCATGATAAAAGTTCTGGGAAATTAGGGAGACAGGGACATACCTTAGCATAATAAAGGCAATTTACAACAAGCCCATACAATCAACATCTACTAAAAGGGAGAGAGTCAAAACAATTCCACTAAAATCACCAACAAGACAAGGTTGTCACTCTCCATACCTATGCAGTGTGAAGTCTTAGCTAGAGCAGAAAGACAACTGAAGGAGATCAAGGGGACACAAATTGGAATGGAAAAAGTCAAAGTACCTTTATTTGTAAGTGATATGATAGTATATACAAGTGACCTTAAAAATCTACCACAAAGCCAGGCGGTGGTGGTCCACGCCTTTAATCCCAGCACTCAGGAGGCAGAGGCAGGTGGATCTCTGAGTTTGAGACCAGCCTGGTCTACAAGAGCTAGTTCCAGGACCGCCTCCAAAACCACAGAGAAGCCTTGTCTCATTAAGAAAAAAAAAAAAAAATCTACCACAAAACTCCTACAGCTGATAACACTTTCAGCAAAGTAGCGGATACAAAATTAACTCACAAAAGTCATAGCCCTCTTATATACAAATGGCAAACAGACTGAGAAAAAAAAAATCAGGGACACAATACCTTTAACAATAGCTCAAGGAATATAAAATACTGTGGGGTAATTCTAACCAAACAAGTGAAAAACTTGAATGATAAAAATTTTAAGACAATGAAGAAAGAAATTGAAGACAATATCAGAAGATGGAAAGTTCCCCCATGATTATGGATCAGTAAGATAAATACAGTAAAAATGGACATCCTACCAAAAAGCAATCTACAGATTCAATGCAATTCTCATCAAAACTCCAACACAATTCTTCGCAGATCTTAAAAAGACAGTTCTCACTTTTATGTAGAGACATAAAACAAAAAAACAAAACAAACAAAAAACCAGGATAGCTAAACAACCCTGAATAATAAAAGAACTGCTAGAGATATCACAACCCCCCCAATTTCAAGTTGTACTACCTAGCTATAGGAAAAAAAAAAAAAAAAAAAAAAAAACAGCATGGTACTAGCACAAAAACAGATGTGTTCATCAATGGAATTGAATTGAAAATCCAGACACAAACCCACATACCAATGGACACCTGATTTTTGATAAAGCCAGAAAAACATAGAAAAAAGAAAGCATCTTCAACATGCTGGTAAAAGTTGATAACTGTATGTAGAAGAATCCAAATAGATCCACACTTAATCACTCTGCAAAAAACTTAACTTTTGATTAAATGGATCAAAGACCTCAACATTAAATCCAACACACTGAACCTGATAGACAAGAAAGTGGGGAATAGCCTGAAGTGCATTGGTACAGGAAAAGACTTTCTGAACAGAACACCATTAGCACAGGCACTAAGATCAACAGTCAATAAATAGGACCTAGTGAAACTGAGAAGCTTCTGAAAGGCAAAGGACACATCATTCAGACAAAGCATCAGCTTACAAAATGGGAAAGGATTTTCACACATCTGACAAGAGGAAAAATATCTAAGCTATATAAAGGAACTAAAAAAAGTACATCTCTAAATATCAAGAAAATAAATAACCCAATTTTAAAAATGAAGCACGGCTCTATCACAGAATTCTCATTAAAGAAAACCCAAATTGCTGATAAAGAAATGTTCAACATTCTTAGCCACCAGGAAAATGCAACTCAAAACTACTTTGAGATTCCATCTTTATAAATCTGAGGATGCAGACAAGGATATAGAATAAGGGGAATGAATACTCATCCATTGCTGGTGAGAGTGTAAACTCATACAGCTACTAAGGAAATCAGTGTGGCGGTTCCTCAGAAAGATGGGAATCTATCTACCTCAAGATTCAGGTATATACCCAAAGGAGGCTTCATCCTACTACAGAGACACTTGCTCAACCATGTTCATTGCTGCTCTATTCATAACAGCCAAAAATTGGAAATAACTTATATGTCCTTCAACAAAAGAATGGGTGAAGAGAATGTGGTATAGAGCTCAGTTGTTTTAAAAAATTGCATCATGAAATTTGTAGGTAAGTGGATAGAACTTGAAAATCAAGTAAAGTATCCCAGACCCAGAAAGACAAATATAGTATGTATTTGCATGTATGTGGATATTAGCTATTAAGTCAATGATAACCAAGCTACAGTCTGGAAAAGCAGAGGTTAGTTATAAAGGAAGGGACTAGAAGAAACAAGTAGATCTCACTAGGAAAAGGAAATAGAATAGTTATGGATGGTGGGCTGAAATGGGAAGATCAAGTGGGGAGGGAAAAGGAGGGGAAGAGATAAAATTAAGGGCCATCAGAGGGGTAATATGGAAACCTAGTACAGTATAAGTCTCCTAAAATATTTACATATATGAAGGTGATCTAAATAAAATCATCAAATGATGGGGAGACAGTGCCCCAACTGGCAATCTCTTGTCACCAAATAAAACTTCCAATACCGGGATTAGGTTACTTGAATTGTTGGCAAATTGTGGGTCCCATGGGAATCCTACTTGTTGCTCTCCACAAAGTGATGTTAAGGTGATTAAAATAATAATGGCCCCCATAGGTCCACATGGTGTGGCACTATTAGGAGATGTGGTCTTGTTGGAGGTGTGGCTTTGAGGTCTCAGAAGCTCAAGCCAGGCTTAGCATAGCTATTCTTTTTGCTGTCTATAGATCCAGATATGGAATTCTCAGCTCCTTCTCCAGAACCATGTCTACCTGCATGCCGCTAGTCTTCCCACCATGACAATAACAGACTAAACCTCTGAAATATAAGTTAGCCCCAATTAAATGTTTTCCTATATAAGACTTGTCATGGTCATGCTGCCTTCTCACAGCAAAAAAAGCCCTAACTAAGGAGAATTCAAACTGGTGCCTATATAGAACCTTTACCACTATGTTCTAGACTCTTTGGTACAGGAAGGTACTCTGAATGCTACTATAAGAGAAAGGTAAACACTAACCCAGCCACAAACCTTTGATCTATAACGGTGTCCTGCCTTCAAGATATACTAGAGTAATGGTGGCACAAAGCTTGTGGGAGCAAGCAACCTTCAATATTTTATTTGACTTAAGGCACACTCCATGAGATGGGACCCATACCCAACATTGCTTGGGTGACTAAACCTAACAGGGACCTAGGATCAAACCAAATACTACTGTTCTTAAAAAAGTAGCCAGGCATGGTGGCACACACTCGTAAGGCAGAGACAAGCAGATTCCTGTGAGTTCGAAGCCAGCCTGGTCTACAGAATGAATTCCAGGACAGCCAGAGCTACACAGAGAACCCTGGCTCCAAACAAACAAACAAAAACTAATAAAATTACTTCTAATAACATTCTGCTATATTCACAGATCAGTTCCCTGCTAAACCACCATCAGAGAAGCAAACAGGAAAAACAAACAAAACACCAAAAAGACCCATAGCCAAACATTATTATAGAGTGAGAGACCTTGGAATGCTTAGCCCTAAAAGGGATGTCTCCATCAAATCCCTCCCCACAGGACTCAAGGAACCCTGTGAAAGAGGAGACAATGTTAAGAGCAGGGGGAATGGAGAACACCAGAAGAACGAGGCCCTCTAAATCAACATGATCAATGCAAAAATGAACTATGAACTCAGAAGACTGAGGAAGCATGCACAGACAGGGCCTGCATGGTCTGTGCCAGGTCCTTCGCATATATATGGTGGCTTCCATTTCAGTGTTTTTATGAATTCCTGAGTGTGTGAATGATTGGGTCTTTACTTCTTGGGCCTGCTCTTGGGCTCTTTTCCTTGTTTGTTGTTTTGTTCAATTCTGGTGTATTAGTTTTTGTTTTGTCTTTTATTTTATTTTATTACTAACCCTTAGAAGCCTGTTTGTTTTTAAATGATACAGAAAGGAGGGATCCAGACAGGAGGTGAGGTGAGGAGGAACTAGGAGGAGTAGAGTAAGGGGAAACTGTAATCAGGATATACTTTGTGAGAAGAAAATCTATTTCCAATAAAAGAAAAAAAGGAAGGTAGGAGGAAGGGAGGAAGGAAGGGAGGAAGAAAGGAAGGAAGGAAGGAAGGCAGCAAGCTAGCAAGCAATGGAAACAAGCTGGTAAGCAGCACTCCTCCCTAATCTCAGCTTCAATTCCTGCCTTTGTAAATGCCCAGCTCCTCTCCACTCCCATGTACTAGTCAGGTCCAGGGCAAGCATACCTCTCAGAGACCTTTCATGAGTACCTGATCTCAGAGCTGTTTGTTTGTTTGTTTTTGTTTTCCTTCAGTGTTGCTAATTACAGCCCCTGCCATTTATTACGTGTTGAACAAGCACATCACAGACTTCTCTCTGCTCACCAGGCTGGAAAGTGGTCATGCTTATGCTTTCACTGAATTCCCAGTACCCAGCAAATGTGGTTCCTGATAATGAAGATGCATGCAAATGTTTTCGGAGTAAAATAAAAATTACATGTAACTTAATACAGTGGTTTTAATGTTACCTGTTAATGCTGTTACTGTTTCCTTAAAATAATTCACAGTGATATCTTGAATAGAGACCACTGCTTCTTCAGCCTGTCTGGTCCATTCATTGGCTTCCTTCTGCAGGGCAACCACCCTTTTAGGACCCAGTTCATCCTCATTCAGGGACTTCTACAAAAAAGTGACGTAGTGCCATTAGGAGTCTTGAAGCAGCTATGTAGGTTGTTGTAACCACTCATCTTACTGCTGATTAGTCAGCTCCTGAAGAGTATCAGTGGGCTCGGTGCTGGCACCCTGGACGACAGAGGTGTACTCTGGGGACAGGGAAAACACTGACTGACTCTGCATGACTAGAACTTTTCCAGGGTACACAGTTGCGCGAATGATGTCATTGGTAAGCACTCAGGACTCAACTGTTGCTTTTTCTGTAGTTTCCTTTAGGACCCTTAAATACTTAGCACGTAAATTAATGTAATACAGTCATGTAAAAGATATTCACATCTATGTATTCAAAGTGGTGCCATTCGACCTATGCACTGACTGTTTGTGGGCCCTGATATTTATATATTGAAGTTAAATCCCTAATGTGATAGTATTACATGAGGATACAGCTCTCATGATTAGGATTGATGCCCTTATAAAAAGGAAGAGGCAAAAGGTCTCCCTGTTCTTTAATATGTAAGAACACATCAGGACAGCCAGCTACACACTAGCAAACAAGTTCCCATCACCAGGTCTGCCAGCACCACAGCTTAGACTTCCCAGCCACCAGAGCTACAAGGACAAAAGATGTTGTTCATCAGATCTTATTTGCGGTGCACTGTTCTAACAGCCTGGACTAAGGGCTCCTGTGCATCCAGCACCCTGTTTCCTTCTACAAAGCTTGATTAGGTGACACTGGAATAGTGAGTGAGTGTTATGCAAACGAAGGCCAGACCTACAAGAAAGCACTTCCCACCCACTAGGAAAAAAAGACAAATATAACAAGTATTGAAGGCAGGCTTAGTGACACATTGTAATCCCAGCACTTGGAAGGCTGAGGCAGAATTGCTATGAATCAAGGCTAATATAAGCTTTTTACCAATATTGGATCTCAAAAAAAACAAACAATAAAATATACCAAATGTTAATATTGACACAACTACAAGCCCACACTTAGGTGCACTAAACAGTGCATTTGATCTGGGAAACAGTCGGGTGGCCTTCAAAAGGTTAAACTTTTTCTTTTTTTTTAAACCATAAGATAAACATTATCACATGAGCACCAAGTCCACTTCCCAATGCACACATGAGAAATGAAAGTGTGTAACTCAAGTGTGGCTTGTGCCTGTAATCCCACACTCAGAGGCTGTGGTAGGAAGACTGCTGCGAATTCAAGTCATCTGAAGCTACATAGTGGGTGCCAGGTCAGCCTGAGCTACAGGACAGGTATACATACACATATGTTGATGGCAGCATTACTCATGATATCTAAAAAGTATAAATGATTCAAGTGTCCAACCAGGGTGAATGGGTAAGCAAGATGCAGTATGTTCTCATAAAGGCAGTTATCTGCCAATAAAGGAATGAAGTCCTGACCGCTACAATGCAGCCAATTCTTAAAATACGCTAAGTGAAAAAGCAGTCACAAACTCACAAACATTGTTTAGTTCCATTTATGTGACATTCTGTAGGCTGGGGAGATACTTGCCTTGCCTGATTTCAGATTTTAGAACCCACCTAAAGTAGATTCCAGAATCCATCTAAAGCCAGGTACAATAATATGTTCACAATACAAGTGTTACGTTAAAACGGGCACTAGAGACAGGAAGATCCCCAGCAGCCCATGGGTCAGCTAGCCTGCACTCACACACAAACAAGGACATACACACACACCATACACACAAAGATAAAAAATAAAAAGTAAAATTTCCACAACAGCCAAATACAGAGACAAAGTAGATTAGGAACTACATAAATAGAAGAAAATAAGAAATGAGGGTATGAGGTTTCTTTTGAGGATAAAAAGGTACTCTATCTAATATTGTTGGCTGGTGAGATGGCTCAGTGGGTAAAAACACTTGCTGCCAAGCCTGATGACCTGAGTTCAATCCCTGGAACCCACATGGTAGAAGGAAGAAACCTATTTTCTACAAGTTGTCCTCTGATCACCACATACGTGCTAGAGACACACACACACACACACACACACACACACACTACAACATTTTTAAAAACTGTTCTAATATTAGAGAGTTGGTAATGGTTATACAAACCCCTGATCTGTACATTTCAGATATATGATCTATGAGTCATACTTTCTCTCTCTCTCTCTCTCTCTCTCTCTCTCTCTCTCTCTCTCTCTCTCTCTCTCTCACTCACACTCACACACACACACACACACACACACACACTCTCTCTAATCATCAACAGACTTTCCCAACAGTGATAAGAACAACCCTGTCTGTGGGTTAGAACAGCATTCCTGCCAAGTTAGAACAGCTTCCTGCTAAGGTCACAAAAGCACATATGGAAAGATGGCTCTGTCAGGAGGAGAGCAGGATTCTGTCTGCTGGCTCCTCACTCTAGCTGATTGGGCAAAAGGCAATATTAACAATGTATTTTCTAAATGGGGTCACCCTAATGGTGTCAGAATGACAGCAATTACTAAAGTTTAATTACTGAATCACAATCCAGGGCCCTGCTATTTAAATTGATATTCTATTTCTAAGAAATCTTCACGTATTCTTACAGGTGGGAAATAAGCTAAAGGAAATATATGTCATACAAAAACCAGTCCATCAGTAGGGACAGTGTCAATGCTGCCGAATCTGCAGAGTTCTCAAGGGGTTGATAAAATGAGCACAGTAATGTCATCATTTTAATCTATGATCTCCACATCTTTAGGAGAGAGGGTTTGCACATGCTCAGCATCAGTATACCACATGGCCACAACCTCAAGCTCTTTCTCACACTTTATTGTGAAACTGGATCTTACTAAGTTTTCCAGGCTGACTCTGAATCTGTCACTCAGGCAGGTCTTTAAATCTAGCCAGTTGGGTAGATTTAAAGACCTGTACCACCAGGCTGGCTATTGTTGTTTGTGGTTTTATGTCCAGGGCCTTGAACATGCTGGAGGCAGGAGGATCAAGAGCTCATGGCCAGCCTAAGCTACATTATAAATTTGAGGATAGCCTGGACTACATGAGACCTTGTCTTTAAATAAATAAATTATATATACATATAATATCATCTAAATATAAAGATGAACTCGCTCAAAGTAAAAATACTGACTGAACCTTATATGTGACAAAAAGAACAATACACAGGTAACAAGACAAAAATATCAGGAAACATACCAAAATATCAAGCTTACATGAGGTCGCAACTTCTCGCATATCTCTAAATGGCTGAAGTAAATACTGGAAGAACATGGTTGCCATGGTAACTAATTCCTGATATGCTTCATCTTCCTCTTGATAAACTTTCATTAATGCCACCATGGTGTCTGCTTTTCCATGATCTTGAAGAACCTAAAAGGCAAAAATGTAAATAAAGCTTAAATCTGGACATTTATACAATCATACCAAAAATAAGTAAAAGAAACCCAATATTCTCAATTTTAAAACATCAAATTTAAATATTAAATAAACATGAAAATGTTCTCCAACCAAAAAGCCCAATTACACAAAAGTGATTAAATAAGATGGCTTGCCCACGGAATACTATCACTATGTTCACAGTTGTTCAACAATATTTTTTAAAGATTTTAACAATATCAGGACTTAGTATAATGGCTGGAGCCTATAATCCCAACACTTGAGAGACTGAAGCAAGAATTTTACTATGAGTGTGAGGCCATACTGGGCTAAATAGCTATTTCCAGGTCAGCCTGAGCTACAAAGCAAGGCCCAGTCTCAAAAAAACAAACAAGCAAAAATACTATATATACTTCTGTGGACTCATGTCCAACCCCATGTGAAGGTTCCAAGTGAACAAGTGAATTATGCATATGAACAGCTCAATAGTATGAGCTAGATTAGAACCGTAATAGCTGGGAATGAATTTGAATTTGGGAGAAAAGTAACAGGTTAAGAGATTAAGTGGGGGAGGGGGTAAGAATCTAAGAAATGAAGTGTTAAGAATCAATTTTGAGCAGAGTCTGGTGGGATGGACCTGTAATTCGGCTACCTTGAGAACATGAGGCAGGATGTGGCACAGGCCTTAATATTGACCACTTTGGGAGGCTGAAACTGATTCAATCCTGGAGCACAAAGCTTCTAAAAAGCATAGGGCATCAGAAAAGTAGAGTAAGACCTTTGAGGCTGGACTGTAGGATGACAGGAGTGGTGTGAGACTAAGCCTAACTGGGCTACAAAGAGTTAAGGCTGCCTGGGCAACTTAGTGAGATGCTGCCTGAAAATAAGAAGTAAAAGGCTGAGGAGGCAGCTCAGTAGTAGAATGCTGGCCTAGCATGCACCAGGCCTGCCCAAGGCCCTATCTCCAGCACTGACTAAATAAACAGCCAAGGTAAGGAGCCAAAGCTGGCCTGAAAAACTCCTGTTTCCTCATATTACAAGGTGAAATCAACACAGGAAGTAGGTGTGTGAGCTACACAGAATTAAGTGATCCCCACTACGCTAGGTATGGTGGCAAATAACTATAATCCTATTAATGCACTTCAGAGGCTGAAGCAGGAGGGTCAGCAGTCTCAGAGCAGCCTGGGCTACATAGTGAGTTCTAGGACAGCCTGGGCTACTATATGAGACCCTGTCTCAAAACAAAAAAAACCCCACTAACAGAATCCTTTTATAAAGTCATTTTACCTTTAAAAGCCTCATTCTATATTTAGCTTAAGATAATATACAACAATCAAGATTTTGCTATGTGGCTGAATTCTTCTTACACCTCCCCTTCCCCAAAACACAGCAAAACCACTGCTTAATAATTGCTGTCCTAATTAGCTTCGGTAAAGGTGAACCTCAGTCAAGTAATTGCCTCTATCAGATTGGCCTGTAGGTACGTCTGTGGAGCATTTTTTTTAATTGATAGATTGATAGAAGACCTAGCCCACTGTGGGTCAGTAGACCCCTGGGCAGGTGGTCCTGGGCTGACTAAGAAAGCAAGCCAGTGAGCATCCTCCTTTTGATGGCGGACTGTAACCTGTAAGCCAAATAAACCCTTTTCACCCCCAGTTGCTTTTGGCCAAGGAGTTTATCAGAGCAACAGAAAACAAACTCATAATGAGAAGCAGGCATTGTCCAAGGAGGAGTGTCCCTGCATAGAATGAAGCTTTGACACTTGGCTCTCTTCTGGAAACTTGATGGATGAAACACACATTCTCCCTAAATCAGTGAACTCAGCGCCTCCCTCCCTTTAGGGTCTGTAAGTATATCACACAAATAATGAATTGGTGTTCTCAAACTACCTCTTTCTGGTCCAAATGAGCCTTCCTATTGTTGACATTTCAAATTGATGAATAAAGCTTCACTTGCCGGGGGCTTTCCATTCGATACTTATTGCTTAAAGAATAATAATAAAACTATCTTTTAAAAGTCAATCATCATCTAAGACTTTTTTTTTTTTAAGCCATCTCTCTTCCCCAAAGGACCAAGATTGCTTCCATTTCAGCTTATGTTTTTGTTTCCTACGGGTATGCGTTGTTTTCAGTTTTGCTTTCAATATTTCTGGCCTTTCCCATTACAGCACCCTGCTCGACCAAGATCAGGGAAAAGGTGACGGGCGGAGCCTGGCTCAGATCTGCAAGTAAACTTCTGTCTAAGCCAGTAATGGTGACGCCCGCCTATAACCCCAGGATTTGCGAGGCGGAGGAATGCTATGAGTTCAAAGCCAGTCTGGACCAGAGCAGGAGACCCTATTTCAAAAAACCAAGAGAGCAGGGCGAGGCGCAGAGACGCACTCTGATAATGCCAGCACTGGGGAAGGAAGAGGCAGAGAAAAGAGGAATTCAGCCTGGGGCACCTGAGTGGACCCTGCCTCAGAAAACAAACACACGAAAACCACTCTGCTGCAAAGTCACGGACCTCCGCTCGCTCCCTCCCAGCCGAGGCGCAGGTGCGCTAGCGACACCAGTATGCGCAGTGTCCCGGGGTCCCGCTCTCGGCCCCGGGCAGGCGCCGCATACCTGGCGCAGCCGTGCTGCCGCCCCGTCCAGCCGCGCCCGCAGCGTCCTCTCCCGGAACTCCCGCAGGCCCTCGCAGTCAGCCGGGTCTCCCGGGGCCGGGAAGAGCACATCGCGCACGGTGGCGCCGCCGCAGCCGTCGGCCGCCTGGCTCAGGTAGCGCTCCAGTTGGCGGCACAGCTCCTGCAGCGCCGCGTCGCCGGGATCCGCAGGCGCGGGCCACACGAGCGCCCACAGCCCGCGCCCCAAGCTCCAGCCCGCGCTGCCCGCCGCGTCCAGCTCCGGTGGCAGCGACGGGAAGCAGCGCTCCAGGGCCGGCCACAGCGCCGCCAGCTGCCGGTGCGCGCCGCGGAACCCGGCGGCCGACAGCAGCCCGGCCCAGCTGCAGCCGCCGCCGCCGCCGCCGCCCTCCGGCCGGCCGCGCCGCCGCTGCGCCGTGCGGTCATGGCAGGTGACGGCGAACTGGCCCTCCGCGGCGTTCCAGGCCACCAGGAAACGCAGCTGGTGTCGCTCGGGCTCCCGGAAGAGGTCCTCACGCAGCGGCACCCAGCCTTCCAGGCTGTCGAGCTGCTCCAAGTCCATGGCCGCGGACCCCCAGGCCCCGCCGTACCGCGACATTTTTCACTAGCGGCTACTGCCAGTCAGCTGAGCAGCAGCAATTCCCGCCCCCTCACTCTGATTGGTTGTCGACGGAGACTGTCTAGAATTGGTTAAGTGAAAGCCAATGAAAAGTCTTTTAGGGGAAGCGCACAGGTTTTTCTTTTTACAGCCCTGCCTAACCTTTGAATTCACTAAGTAAACCAAGCTGTCCTTGAACTTTTAGAGATCCGCCTGTCCCTGCCTCTTAAGTGCTGAAATTAAAGGGATACACCACCATGTTCGTCAAAGATTTTATTTTTAATCACGTGTATATATGAATAGGACGACGTTGCTCTTGAGTACCAGGTACCAGAAGAGGGCGTCAAATCCTATCGCTCTGGATAAGTTTAGGTGTCTGTGAAAAGCCTAATACAGGAACTGGGGACCTGAACTTTGGGTCCTGTCTATAAGCAGTAAATGCTTTTAGCCTCTGAGCCATCTCTCCAGCTCCTGTCTTAGTTCTCTACAATTTTCCTCGGCAGGATCCTATTATGTGTCTTCTGCCACAAACATAGTTAAGATCAACTTTGATTTGAACTCAATTACTAAGGGCATTTTGGTGTTAAAAACTGAGTTGCAGACACATTTATTTTTGCCAAATTTGTCAGCTTTTACTGAGTGTCCACTGTATTGTTGGTATATTGAGGAGTTGGGCATGATATTTCCGCTTTCCAAGCATCCCGGCTGGCAACTTAACATGCTTAAATACATGTGTTCCAGTTTCAACTTGACAGCAAGGAAATTGAGACCCAGAAAGCGAGCTCATCTACAATACATACACACTAGGACTAAACAAGACCTCCTCACTACCGAAAACCTGCCTGCTGGGGTATTAGAGCAAGCCAGAAGAAGTGCTTTTGCTAAAAAGCATTTCCTCATGTGGACCTACAAGACCCCTGAAGAAGCCTTGTCCTAAACCTGCAGTCATCTTAGAATTCAAGAACAACAGATAGACACATAAAGAGAAAGTCACACACGCCCCAAAAGAGTTAATTGTCTGCTGGGCCATAGTGGCACACACCTTTAATTCCAGTACTTGGGAGAGAGGCCAAGGTAGGCGGATCCCTATGAGTTCAAGGCCAGCCTGGTCTACGCATTCAGTTTAGGACGAGCTCCAAAGCTACAGAGAAACACTGTCTGGGAATCCCCCTCCCCCAACGAGTTAATTATCTATGATGATGAAGCTGCACCCTTATGCATAAGTAATTTATTCCTCATGATCACACAACCTGTTGGGAAGGACGTAGAGATAAGGGTCAACCAAGCCACACCTTGATCAAGACTGCTCGATTATATATGCTATTTTTTAAAACGCAGTTTTCTCATGGGGTACGGGATCTTTGTCCATTTGTGCTCTATATAGAGCCTTCATGCTAGAATGGCAAGTTTTGACCTTTCTTCAGATTAAAACTGGAAACTTTGTCCTCCTTGTTTTTGATCTATTGTTCTTCTCCACACCATCAGCCCTCCCAGGCCTTCAGCTTGCTAACTGCAGAAGCCTCCATAATCATATGAGCCAAGTCCTCAAAATAAATTTCTCCATTATTACAAAGGTCCTGTCAGATTATTTCCTCCAAAGAACCTGGACATTAATACAGTGGTGTGTGTGTGTGTGTGTGTGTGTGTGTGTGTGGTGTGCACACACACGTGCACACACATGTAGGAAGACACAGAATGGAATGATATTTTTATTATTTCCATTTATAAATATATCATGAGCATTAAAAAATGTAGGCATGAAGCTAAGGGTATGACTTGGTGGTAAAAACATGCTTAGCATGGACCCCTGGGTTCAGGCTCCCAAGGCAATAAGCACCTACATCATTGTTTTTAATATTTGCAAATACTGAGTTAACTATCACAATTACCTAATGAATCACATATTGATGAAAATAGATTATTTCCAGTTTCTGCCCATCCAAACAAGACTATATGGGGAAGAATGTACCTCAATGGTATGACATATGCTAAGTATACTTCAGGCCTTAGCCCCAGCCACACACCAAAACCCAAAACCATAACAGTATGAAATGATGAATATCTTGTACATCCTTCTTTATGTATTTCTGTTTTTTTGTTTGTTTGAGATAGGGTCTTTCTATATAGCTCTGGCTGGCCTTGAACTCTAGTGATCCTCCTGCCTCAGTCTCCCAAGTGCCCAGATTACAAGCTGCATGAGCCACCAAGTCCAGATTTTTTTCATTTTATTTCTAATAGTTTTGGATATACTGAAGTAATGGCATTTTAAAACAATAACTACAAAATCCCCAGCTCAAAAAACTACATACAGATTTTCAAATGAAATAATTTTTCCCCTAGTCTCAAAGTCTATGTACATCTCAACAAACTTCTATAGAGTCAGAATGGCCATTCTGAAGGCATGGAGCTTCTCTTAGCACCTCACATTTTAACTGTCAATTACATGGTTATACATACCCACTACAGACAAAGGAAAAGTGTGACAGATTTGGAACTAAAAAAAAAAAAAAATCAAAAAAAAAAAAAAAAAACAATTAGCTTTATATCCTCTTTTGTGACCCAAGTGTTCCTTTGCCTGCATCCCGATCCTTCCTCGTCACCTAATATGACTCAAAGGAAATGGTTAAGAACCTGAGTCACTTCTGTACCCCATTTTTTAATAGGGTTATTTGGTGTTTTGTTGACTAGTTTCTTGAGTTCTTTGTATATTTTGGAGATCAGCCCTTTGTCGGATATAGGATTAGTGAAAATCTTTTCCCAGTCAGTGGGCTGCCGTTTGGTCTTGTCAACTGTGTCCTTTGCCTTACAGAAGCTTCTAAGTTTGAAGAGGTCCCATTTATTAATTGTTTCTTTCAGTGTCTGTGCCCCCCCCCCTATATTTATATAAAAAAAACGCCCTCTCCCACCCCATTTTCACCACGCCCCCCCCCCCCTCTACTACGAGGTTCTTTATGGCTGGATTTTTATTGTTTTCTTTCATCCTTTTGGTCTTGTTTTTTTTACTTGCGACAGGCAAGGGGCCTCTCTCCCCCCCCCCCCCCCCCCCCATCCAATTGTGCCAGCACCATTTGTTGAAGATGCTGTCTTTGCCCCATTGTATCATTTTAGCTGTTTTGTCGAAAATCAGGTGTTCATAGGTGCATGGATTAATATCAGGATTTTCAATTCGATTCCATTGGTCTACCTGTCTATTTTTATGCCAATACCAGGTTGTTTTCAGAACTATAGCTCTGTAGTAGAGCTTAAAGTCAGGAATGGTGATGCCTCCTGATGTTCTTTTATTGTATAGGGTTGTTTTGGCTATCCTGGGTCTTTTGTTTTTCCATATAAAGTTAATTATTATCCTTTCAAGGTCGGTGAAGAATTGTGGTGGGATTTTAATGGGGATTGCATTGAATCTGTAGATTGCTTTTGGTAAGATTGCCATTTTTACTATGTTTATCCTACCTATCCAAGAGCATGGGAGGTCTTTCCATTTTCTGGTATCTTCTTTAATTTCTTTCTTTAGAGTCACAAAGTTCTTATTGTATAGATCTTTTACTTGTTTGGTAAGCGTTACACCAAGATACTTTATGTTGCTTGTGGCTATTGTAAAGGGTGATGTTTCTCTGATTTCTTTCTCTGCCTCTTTGTCGTCTGAAAAAAATAGGGCTACTGATTTTTTTGAGTTTATCTTGTATCCTGCTAGTTTGCTGAAGGTGTTTATCAGCTGTAGGAGTTCCCTGGTAGAGTTTATTGGGTCGCTTATGTAAACTATCATATCATCTGCAAATAGAGACAGTTTGACTTCTTCCTTTCCAATTTGGATGCCCTTGATCTCCTTTTGTTGTCTTATAGCATTAGCTAGAACTTCTAGTACGATATTGAAGAGATATGGAGAGAGAGGACAGCCTTGTCTTGTTCCTGATTTTAGAGGAATTGGCTTAAGTTTCTCTCCATTCAGTTTGATGTTGGCAGTTGGTTTGCTGTATATTGCTCTTATTATGTTTAGGTATGTTCCTGTTATCCCTGACCTCTCTAATACCTTTATCATGAAAGGGTGTTGAATTTTATCGAAGGCTTTTTCTGCATCTAGGGAGATAATCATATGGTTTTTCTTTTTCAGTTTGTTTATATGGTGGATCACGTTGATAGATTTTCGTATGTTAAACCATCCCTGCAATCCAGGTATGAAGCCTACTTGATCATGGTGGATGATTTCTCTGATGTATTTTTGAATTCGGTTTGCCATTATTTTATTGAGTATTTTTGCATCGATGTTCATCAGGGATATTGGTCTGTAGTTTTCTTTCTTAGTTGTGTCTTTGTGAGGTTTGGGTACCAAAGTTATTGTGGCCTCATAAAAAGAGATTGGCAATAAACCTTCTGTTTCTATCTTGTGGAACAGTTTGAGGAGTAGAACTGAAGAAAGAATTCTCAATGGAGGAAATCAAAAAGGCTGAAAGACACTTAAGAAAATGCTCCACATCCTTAGCTATCAGGGAAATGCAAATCAAAACAACTTTGAGATACCATCTTACCCCTGCCAGAATGGCTAAAATTAGAAACACCAGTGATGACTTATGTTGGAGAGGATGTGGAGAAAGTGGAACACTCCTCCACTGCTGGTGGGAGTGCAAACTCATACAGCCACTTTGGAGATCAGTATGGCGGTTCCTCAGGAAAATGGGAATTAGTTTACCACAGGACCCGGCAATCCCCCTCTTAGGCATATACCCAAAGGATTCACATCAATGCAACAAAGACATCTGTTCAACTATGTTCATAGCAGCACTATTTGTAATAGCAAGAACCTGGAAGCAACCTAGATGCCCTTCAATTGAAGAATGGTTAATGAAGATGTGGCACATCTACACAATGGAATACTACTCTGCAGAAAAAAATAATGGTATCTTGAAATTCGCAGGCAAGTGGATGGCACTTGAAGAAACCATCCTGAATGAGGTAACCCAGTCACAAAAAGAGGAACACAGTATGTACTC